CGTGCCCTGCTGGCTCAGTGATTGGCTGCAGGGGGACCCTGGGTTCCCCCCCAGACCCAGGAGGCACCAGTCACGAAGCTGTGGGGTGGGGGGGCATCCCTCATGTGCTCTGCAGCAGACCCAGAAGTGCTTCTGGCCCACTTCTGGATCTGCTGCTGAGCGCGCTGCGTTCCAACCCCCCATGTTCCCATGGGGTGCTACGTCTGCCCCACCGTCTCAGCATTCGCAAGCTGCCTGGTACCTTGAGGTATGTAGATAATTGTCTTTTCAAGCAGGCAAACCACAATGTGTGCTGAACCTTGGTGAAAAACTGCAATTTATTGTTCACTTACAGATTTTTACAGCTACAAGTTTTTTGTGATAAAAGATAGGAGGGCACAGAAGGATGTGCATGGTTCTGTATGGAAAATATGCAAAAAGGATTTAAAAATATATATGCAAAGTCTTAGAGTGACTGAAAGTGGTGACACTCGTGTTTTCACTGTCCTAGTTTGATTGTGAAACACATTGTTTAAATTCTGCATTGGGCTTTAAAAAAGCCTTTCACTCACTATGCATGTCTCCCAGGTTTTTTTTGGAGGGGGTTGTTTGGGTTTTTTGGGGGGTGGGGGGATTATTTTCATTGTCAGAGGAACTAAAAATACTCTTTTTACAAAAATGCAAATAACTTTGACTATATCTGCTGGAAAGCTACAATTGCTCTGCAAGGAACAGGTGAGTGACGTTTTGGTTAGTTTCACTTCTGCTATTTAGATTCCCATAAATACGAATGAAACAGTCAGAAGTCATGTTGGTGTCATGCTGCTCCTGGGAATAGTCATGCCAAGTTGCATAGCCAGACGCTCATGTTCTTGGGAGACTAAAGTACAAAGAACCATGGGTGGGGGAGAAGGAGAATAAAATAGACAAGATTTTCCTATGCAACCTTTTTGAACAACCAGGAGGATCTGGGAAGAGGATACCCATCTATCACAAAAGGTTTTAATTGTTACATACATAAAAAGAACATCTGCCTTAATATTAAATGTGCTTTTAAAGGGATATATAACTTTGGGATGTAACTATGCCACTACAGGGTCTGAAGCCAGTGGGAATTCTGCCCCTAAACTGAATTGGTAGCAAGAGTGGTCACTAATTGTAATTGCACTGCCCTATGGGCAGATCATTTCATCACCATCTATAGCAGTGCTTTCTGTATCCTCCTCTGCAGCCTTCAATAATGACCACTGTTGGGCAGGAATACACAGAGTCAGAAGTCTGTAGTCAGTGGATCCAATGCAGCCTGCAAAGAGATCTTTGTCATAGTACTTAGGGTCGGAAAGGACCTAAAATTTTTATGGTCAGTTTTCTCCTTTTGCATTTGTATTTTTTTAAAAGATTCTTTTTAATCTTGTTTTCCTCTACTGCTTCATGAAAAGGTCAAACCATTTAATCTCAGTACAAGTAGGTGATTTTCTTTAAACCTATGAAGCACATGCCACATTCACAGTGTTGCTACATATTGGAAAGCTGAGGAAACAGCACTTAGACTTGAGTAAAGCTGCTGAAAACAAGTTCTTATGTATTTCTTTGAATATCATAGTACTTAGGATCGTAAGGAACCTAAACAGATCATCAGGTCTGACCCCTTTGCTCCGAGCAGGAACGGGTGCTGGGATCATATCACCCCAGCCAAATATCTGGCCAGCCTCCTCTCGAAGACCCCCAAGGCAGGAGAGAGCACCATCTCACTTGGGAGCCCGTTCCAAAGCCTGGCAGCCCTAACTGTAATGTCTCCTGATGTCCAGCCTGAACCTTCTCTCTAACAGTTTGTGGCCATTATTCCTAGTAACCCTGGGTGATGCCCGGGGGAACAGAGCTTCCCCTAAATTCCGCTGGTTCCCACAGGTGAGTTGGTAAACAGCCACCAGGCCCCTCTCAGCCTTCTCTTGTGGAGGCTGAATAGGTTCAGGCCCTTAAGCCTCTCTTCGTAGGGTCTGCCCTGCTGCCACTTGACCATGCAAGTGGCCCTCCTCTGGACCCTCTCAATGCTAGCCACACCCCTCTTGAAGTGCGGCACCCAGAACTAGACGCAGTACTCCAACTGTGGCCTGACCAGTGTTGCATAGAGGGGGAGGATCACCTCCCTGAATCTGGTTGCGATGCATCCGTAGATGCATGACAAGGTGCGGTTAGCCTTACTGACTGCTTCCTCGCATTGGTGGTTCATGTTTATCCTGAAGTCAATGACTCCAAGATCCCTTTCTGCCACCGTGTTGACAAGAAGGGTGTTCCCCAGCCTATAGGTGTGTTGCTGGTTCCTTCTCCCTAGATGCAGCACCTTGCACTTGTCTGCATTGAATTCCATTCTATTCTCATTCGCCCACCTCTGTAATTTGTCTAGATCCAGCTGGATTCTGTCCCTCCCCTCCAGCATGCCCACCTCGTCCCACAACTTGGTGTCATCAACGAATTTGGACAGTGTGCATTCCACACCCACATCCAGATCACTGATAAAGAGGTTGAACAGTACAGGTCCCAGGACTGAGCCTTGGGGGACTCCACTGCCCACATCCCTCTAGGTCGAAAACAACCTGTCCACCACCACTCTGGGTGCAACCATCTAGCCAACTTGCCACCCATCTGACTGTAGGCATCAGTGCCAGTTGCCAAGTTTTTTTTTTTTTAAGAGAATGTGGTGGGAAACCATGTCAAAGGCCTTCTTAAAGTCCAAAAAGATGACATCCACCCTGACACCCTTGTCCAGGGACTTTGTGACCTGATTATAAAAAGAAACGAAGTTAGTCAGGCAGGACCTGCCTTCAATGAACCCATGTTGGTTGCCCCTGAGCATTACCTCCCCTGCTGGGCCCTTGCAGATGTGCTCCTTGATAATTTTCTCAAAGGTCTTCCCAAGGACTGGCCTATAATTACTGGGGTCCTCCTTTCTCTCCTTCTTGTAAATGGGGACCACATTGGCCCTTTTCCAATCCTCTGCTACATTTTCCAGTCCTCTGGTACCTGGCCAGTGCCCCACGAGCACTCATAGAGCCATGCCAAGGACCCCACTATGACCCCTGCCAATTTCCTCAGCACCCTCAGGTAAAGAGCATCTGGACCTACTGATTTAAACACGTCCAATGTCTGGTCCACCAAGCCAGAAGAGTGATGGCAATTGGCAGCAGAGGGAATTGGGTAGGGAAGGGGTAACAGTGTGGTGGTGGGCCACCTTTTGGACTAAGTTGTTTAATTAAGCTTGCCATTGCTGAAGGATAGCCCTGGCTCTCTCAGTCTGACCAGGGTTCCTTCTAGCGTAGTATTCTGTGCTCCTAGTTGCTTATAGTCCTATAAACGCTAGAGAATGGCCCTCAGATTAAAAAGTGAAGAAATGGTCATCCTGTATTCTAGGACATATGTTGAGCTTTTACGATGTGACTTCTTATTTGTTTGCTCTATACTGATCTCTTAGAGGAGTTTCTGAATAGCTTTTAGTGGAGATCACTTTTGTCAGTGTGAAAGACAGTAGCAACATATTGCGCTGGAATTGGACTCAGCCCAGTGCCTTGACAATCTGCTGTGTCTGAAGTCAATTTACACTCCTTCCCTTCTTTTTTTAAGACTGTGCCAAAAAGGCCCAAAGAGACTACCTGTCAAAATAGTAATCAGAACAAAGAAGTAAATGCAGCTGAAACGATAAACTTGAGAGGTAAGTTGTTACAGTGCTCTTTTTTATTTATAGAGGAATGATGGTGGTGTTTTTTTTTTCTTAAGCTCTAAATATTCATCCAGCCCAATGTTGACCTGGATATACCCTGAGAACATAGCTTGGACCTGCATACTGCAGGTCAGTTCTTCTCTCTTTTTGAAAGTGTAATGTGGCCTATTTTCAGTGTTTTCAGGAGAGAGGTTTAAAACCTATATTGAGCCCTGGTGTAATCAGATTCAGCTCCATTGATTTTAGTGGAGTTTGCATCCATGTTCATGAGGGCCCTGATTTTAGCCTGAATATCCATAGTAAGATACATGCAAATCACTTTCAGAACTTGTGGATTATTGTTGTTTGTTCATATTTATTACATTAAAATTTTGCTATAAATGTGTTGTCTAGGTACCCAACACTTGCCAACTTAACACACCTATTTCCTATTCTAAAATAGGTGATATTGGTAGACGTATACCACCGGTAAAAGTTATGGTTGGCAAATATGGACTTATTAGTAACAAGCCCTGCCTAATATGTTCATTGCTAATATGCATGTGTGGTATTATTACACACAACTTGTTTTCTTGAAGCTATAAGAATTGGGTTTTTGTGTAGCTTAGTTAAGTTGGTATCCAAGCATCTGCATTATAACTTTATAAAAAGTTCCAAACTCTACTATACCTTACATCATAAATTAATCGTTTTGGGTCTGAAAAATGCAAGCATTACATTTGATCTTAACTTTTGAAAATATAGGCTATTACAATTCACTGTCACCATTTATTATATTACTTTGACTATTGTATATAAAGCAGAGCATTTTTCCCCCCAAAAAACACTTAGTTCATGAAGAAGGAAACACAATTTTCACAAGGTTAGTGTATCTAATATTAAAATGGTGCACCACTTTTTCTTCTGCTAATCAAAAATTCAAATAGTTTTCAGACTTTGTATTTTATTTTGCATTTTTTTTAAAGAAAAAGTAAAATGTCGCTTTAGTGTGTTTGGGGACCAAATCTGGTTTTAGAAGTCTAGCTCTCAGAACATTCACTTTCTATTTGCTTCCCAGCAGACTCGCTGCCTAACTGTGACCAGTCACTAATTAGGTCTCATCAGGAAGGTCTTGGCATCACAGAGCAGATCCCATCAGTGCAAAATCTCCATGAGAATCTCATGATGAATAGCACCGCTCCAAAGCAATCTACAGACAAAGACAGATTGGCCATCTCTGAGGTCCTAAGCCCTGCTGAAAATGGAAGGTCTGATGCTCTTCCTGAGGCACAGGCTCAGGCAGAAGACGACGCTGAAATGTCACAGAGTGGAGGTTTTGCTTTTACGTCAGCAAACAGCAATGTCTCCCCTGAAACATTTTTTTCAGACTTGAAAAGTAATCAAAAGCAATACTGACTAGAGAATGGGAGCCCTGGTTATGATCGGCTTGCAAGGGCTGAACAGCTTTGACATATGTTATATCTACGAGAGAGATCTATAACACTGCTGAGAGCTGTTTGGATTCATCATTTTTGAGGGCTACAGTGTAGCGGAGGTAAAAAAAAAAAAAAA